CATGGGTTCGAATCCTGAGGGGATGAGCAAGGCACTTTGCCATTATTGTTTAGCCCTTCGGAAGCAATGCAAAGCCGTAGGTCTCGTGTGTTGTGTAATGCACGTTAAAGACCCAGTAAAATTTCGCCAAGAGAAGGGGTTTGACCTGGTGTTTCTAGCAGTGGCTGCAAGCGTAATTTTTATTCCTAGGAGGGTTAGGGGCAATGTCATGAATAATTCATGTTTATCCATGAGAACGGACAATGACATCAACAGCATAGTTGTTAGTTACTCAACTAGTTACAATACATTAAAGCATTTTTAAAGAACGGTTGTCGTCGAGCTACCACACAGTAGCCTAGTGGATAGCGAGATGAGCTATGGATACAAAGATCCCTGGTTCGAATCCACGTCTTCGCTGCTCATTTTTCATCAGCTAGTTTTCTTCTCCAAATTTATCACTGAGATAATTTTAAATTAAGGGGAAAATAGAACGAGAACCTAAGTCTTGCAATGATTCAAAGGAAAAACTGAATTATTCATGACATTGCCCCTAACCCTCCTAGGAAAAAAATTACGCTGGCTGCAAAGTGCACCGCAGCACTTTGAATACCCTTTCTAAAGGTGCTGCATAATGGGTCTTATATTTTCATAAACTTCATTTACCTGTCTTTAAAAATATACAGCGCCTTAAGTACCTAATTGTCGGTAGATACGTGTGCTATGACTCCGATAGCATCCGGAGTCTCACGCGTCCGAGTAGCCACGCGAGCCTTGACTAAAGGCTATATTTACTTTGTATCAATGATAATTTTTTTAGCAACTCAAAATCTCAGTGGGGGGCAACTGGGGGGGGGGGGGGGGGGGGGGGCGACAAGGTTTCATGGGGGGGCCACGCCCCCCGTGGCTACGCCACTGATTGGGCCCATGCCCTCCCACCTTTTAAAAGGTGGCGATTTCGCCTCCCCCGCTCCACTTTTTCCCAACATTTTCTCAATAATTATCGGGTACGCTTCGTTCACACGAAACATTCTCACACAAAATATTTAAGTGCTAGTTACAATGGCATCAATGTTTTAGTCTACATATTTCTAGACATTAACGGTTTCGTGTAACATGGCAGGAAACAAAAAAAAAAGCGAAAAGGGCGGTCCCTAGCAGCATTATGGGGTCCTGCCCCTCCCCTCTTTTCGAATTTGCAACGACCGGGTGGCATCGGAGTTGCTTTCTAAATTAGGCCGTCAGCTGGACTGGAAAATTCGTTCGTTTCGCTCCAGCAATCGCGGGTCCAACAATTTTTAACAATTGTACCGAAATTCACTTCCAAAGAATGATAGGCCTACTACAAAAGTTCTCCACATTTCGTCCAGCAGTTTTTTGATAATTTGACTCGAAAAAGCGAACTATTTGTCCATTGTGGACGTTCAAAAACGTACCGCGCCTACGTTAAAAAAATCCGCTGCGTATGACGCATCGTACCACGTGACGTGAACTGTCCAATTAGACACCAGATATGAGGTCGCAGGTCATGACATTTAACAAACATGGCGGCGTCCATTGGCAAAAGTGCGTCAACGTAAACATCGACCGGTGCAAAAAAGAAGTGTTTGCACTCATAATCTGTCACGTTTGAGGGGGGAAATGCGAAGGATCTGATGTCCGGTGATAGTAAGTTCATTTCCTGTGCCAAAGAGTGGCTGAATTTCACAATGGCATCGCCGAATATACCCACGATGTGTGGGCAGTGGATCTGTTATGTCTGTATCGTACTGTACAGTACTACATCATGCACTACCGGCGCATGTAAACAAGGTAGTCCGGCCGGCCGATCTCACCCGTGGCGGTTTTTATAGATAGTAAACGTCTCGGTGCTGCAAGAAAACGCAAACCAGACACTTCAGCTGAGACCCAGATTTCTTCACCGAAAAAGCTCCGGGCAAAGTTCAAGTTTCTTTGAATTGCCTATCTACCATGTCTACATAACTGTGTCATGCTGCACACAAACTCAACCAGGATTTTGATTTCGATGAAAACCTCAATTCAAGGACAGTACAACAAGCAGAACTTCCGTTGGAGGTAGGCCTACATGTCATTATAATAAAGGCGATTGTGTATTTATGTGCCCCAAAAAAGAACCAACAAATCCATGTTTGGGTTTATTGTCTTGAATTAAGGGTAAGGTTAGGTTTTAATTTCTTTGAGGGAAACTGGGGTGACACAACGATAAAAACGCAAAGCTGGTGGTCACCACGATGCACCGTGAATGCACAGAACCGCATCTATTTGGATGGCGTCAACTGAAAATGCATAGGAAAATTTTATTTTCTTGCAAAAGATACCATTCAAAATGATAACAGATTCCTGGTTATAAAAAAACACCTTTTCTTTCTCTACGGCATTGGACTGTTGGGTACGTCACTTGTTTACCGAATGGTTCTTGGACTTTACTTTCCTTTTAGAAAAATTCTCTGAAGTCAATGAAGAAAAATGTCTTCAATGACAAATAGATCTTATTTGAAAAACCCAGTAAAAAAGGGTGTTTTTTTTAGTTCCATCATCCATGATTCAAACCGAGTACCTCTGGCACTGAAAATAAATGTCTAACGTTAAGATGCCAAAGTACAACGTGTACTGCACAAAATCCCATAAAATGTTGTGCAGTCTCTTTCTCCATTGTTGAAGGATACTTTTATGGAGGTGTGAGGGTAGTCTTTCCCTTTGTATAAAATAGCAAAATAGCTTTTTATAGAATTTACTATTTGATTCTATATATATAGGCCTAAAGGATGAACGTCAGGAAAAGGGAGATGTTCTGCGACTGACTGTTCAACCCCGATCAACAACTTAGTTTCATGAGAATGTCCCAGCTTGGTGAACTGTTGGAATCATGAAATGATTTAGAAGCCGAAGGAACTGGCCTTGGATCTTTATATCGGTAAGATGTTTTGATTGTTATTCAGAGTGCAAACAGAAATAAACTTTAATAGAATATTCAAAATGAAAACTTCTTGATATTGCTTTGGAAGCTGAAAAGGTTGGTTCTCAATAGCTACCAATGTTTACATATTTACAGTGGAAGGCAAAACGATCGGCACGTGATCTTTCTAGTAATTTAACTCTAGATTGAACAAGTTGTTTTCTTTCTTCTAAAGCACATCCACAGTAATCATTGTTTTTGATCATCAGATACTAAACCTGTCTATATTTTACAATTTTTTTTTTTTTTTACAGAACTGACAAGTTGACATATCGGCTTAGAAGAGAATATCCACAGATCTCTTTCCTTGATATATGGGACATCATCTACACCGCTACTTTATCTGCTGGATGTGTAGTTGAATCTCTGGGGACTTCAGAGGAGGATTCAAAACTGAAACTTTGGCTTAGAAAGCAAGACATACGCTCCATCCTGTTGTTAGGCCGTTACTGCACAAGATTTGATGAGAACTTTGATGTAGTGATAACATTTACTTGAAGTTGTATCAGCACGACTAGTTAGCATTTGACATTATAATGAAAATAATGAGTAACTCTAGATTTCAAAACTACATAATTGTATCCTTCTGTTCATTAGTGTTGGTTTTATTCATTTTAATTCTTTTCAATTATTAAAAATTAGTTCCAGTAAAAAAAGGCAAATTCTGTGAATTTTAACAGTGAGACTAGCCACATATGACAAGCCAAATCACTCTCTTTAATGTGTAAGCATACAAAATAGCATGAGTTATGGTTTTGTTTTCTTTTTATTGATATACATGCAAACATTTATACGTGCTAATCAATGTATCAATAAATAAAAAGCTGAAATTTTCTTTGACAAAAGACTGATCTTAAGGCTTTTCTCCAAACCAAGATGGCTGTTTTGATTAGATAGCAAATAAATGTACAATGGTTGATTTTTTAAATTATTAAACCAGACTCTGACTTCTATCTGATGGTCCTTTGATTTATAATTGTATTTAAAGCCTGTTTCATTCCAAAAAAGGTGGTCTTTCTTACAAGTAGAAGGTTCTTTAAGTGACGTACCTGGTTCACCACAGCAGATCCAGAGGGTTTGGGGGGCATAGCACCCATTATTTTTTTTTATATGCGTTAGTTTGCTTTGTTTAAAGGGACATGTCTTGTCTGCTTTCCTGTTTCTTCTGCTGGTTACATGTGCAGGTATTTATTTACTCTAAAGACGCCTCCATTTTGGGCACCCCCTCACTTTCATTAATCTTGAGCTGGTTCCACCACTGCATTATAAACCTTCAAAATAACTGCATTGTTGTATGCTGCCAAATAAGTTAGATTACAGTGAAATATTTTTTGGAAGAGGGACTGTGGTGATGTCTACCAGATGAGAAAACAAAAGGTCATGTTCTGTGTGACCCAATTGCCAATGTACATAAAAGATATTTTTTAACTCTAAAATCTCCTGGGTCAAATTGACCCAGAATCTGAATCCAAATTTGCTCAGTCCTTTTCTGGGTAAAAAAAATACACATTTCAGTCAAAATGACCGAGAAACATGTCTTTTTTTTACTCCAAAGGGGTCATTTATGACTCCAAAAGGGGTCAATTTTTGACCCGGAAAAGGACTGAGCAGACTGAGTCTGACCCAGGAGTTTCTAGGGTCAGGAGTTTCTAGGATATGACAAGCTATAGTGCTGTACGTGCATAGTTTTGAAATTGGAAGTGCCAACGCAAGGCCTCAAACCGGAAAATGTGGGTTTTTAGCATACACACATGTATATAACATTGGCAAACTTTGATGAGGTGTAAAAAAAAAACTGCAGCATATTTGCTGGAGAACTTTTGACATAGTGTTTGTGATGTACTGAACCCCACATATGTGCATTAAAAAAGTAGACCCAGTGTTGCTGGAACGAAACTCATTTTACAGCCGGTTTTTGAGTTTCAGCTGATGGCCTAAATTGGCCCCACTTTCAAAACTGTTCCGCCTTCGCTGGGAGCAGGGCAGTGTCATCGAAAAGGCTATATCCCATAGTTAAATCCGGCACATTGTGAACACCAGATGCATGAAAACACTGCCAGTGAATGTGTCCAGCTTTAGTAGGCTTGCCCTGTCCTTTTTTTCAATAACTAGACACGGACACGGTTAATGAGTACATGATTTTTTCCACATCAATTTCAGGTGAGGGGGATTCGCTGAGGATCCTCCCTGCAGAGAATTACCCGGCTTCCATTGGAGTTAATGTAACGTTTACGTGCTTGATAACAGGCCATCGAACTAATGTGGGACCGGTAACTCGTGTCGAGTGGCAAAAATCTAGTCTGATTTTGCAGCGGTGTTCGTTCCAGCCACCCGGCGACCAAGACGGATTTGAGGAGCACTGCAAACTGAGCATCGCCCCGGTGAAAAGGACCTCGGCTGGCCAGTACAAGTGCGTCGTGTACTACCTGACATCAACAACTAAAACCCTGCAGTTGGATATAGTCGGTAAAGCTTCAGAACGTGCTAGAAATTCACGTGGACATTTATATGAAGTCTCAGCATTTTGTTTTTGGTGCCGGTGGTGGTGGCTGACGAACAACTAGCTCCCACCTATCGGCAAAAACCATAAGCGTTAAAATTATATTTAAGTGTATTTTCTTGTGGTGTGCCTCCCCCCCTCCAGTTTGTTCTTTGCCTCCCTCCCCAATGCCCGAAGCTGGTGACGGGACAGGGTATGCACGTGCTAAAATTGTGGACGAATGTCTGAGAACATTACGTCTGTGTAACAGCTCAACCCTGAATCCCTTTGTTGGTTAGAAAATGTAAGCAAATGCCATTTCTTCGGACAATCATGCTAATGATGCATCATGTAGACATTGAAAAGTACTGTTTACGGTCATTGATAGGTCGTGCGGAATCCGAACCAGGTCAAAAGTGACCATGTATAAAGCCACATAGGTGTGTTTTTTTTTTTTTTGGGGGGGGGTCTTTTTCGTTTGACGCAACACAATTGTTAAACATTTTAAGTATGGTGCACATTTACAACAACTTACCTTAACATGATGATTCTGTTTCTAACGTGGGCACTTTATTTTCAAACCACTTTCAATGTTAAGCCTATATAAATATATAAAACAAATTAAAAACCATACCATTTCAGGCCGAACAACAATATTTAATACCAGCGCTATCTTCACTTGAACTTTAAAGTGCCTGTCGTTAATGAGGAGGTTACTTTTGCGGGTAAATAAGTAACGATCACGAAGTTCAATTTAAACGTTTATGAGCCTTAACCAATCGGATATATGCAGTACGTTTATGCTATTTTGCGTTGAAGTAAAGTCGCGGAAGCTTACCATCCAATACAGAAGAAAGACAAATTATAACCATTTTAATCTGCGACCGGGTCGTACACGTTCAAGAAAGAAAATGAAAGATGGTTATTTCTAAACCAACATTATCATACCTTGTTGTTTCGATTTGGCTCAACATTTGCCCATTTTAGATAACACCAAAAAGTTGCGCCATGCGTGCCTACCTGTAATTTTGGTTTGCTTCGCAAAATGTTTTCTTTGCAACGGTGACTGTTTATTCTTATTTGTCAAACTGAAACTTGCCAATGTTTGTTTTAAAGTCAGGAGTGTTTTTTTTTTTATACAATAAGCACTTGTTGGTTTCATTTTACACGATACACTCATATAACGAGATTGAAAGTTGACCTCACTCTGCCGGAGATAATGATCTGTCAGTTTACAGCGTTCAAGCCTGTATCACAAATTTAGTACAGAAATTTGTAACAAATATTACCTGGGTATTTTATTAGGAAAAGAATGGATAGAACGCGAAAACGACAAATTAATGTTTTGAGCCGTGAAATAAAAGGAAATTGACACTTGCAAAGCATTCTGGGTGTGGACGACAAGCGCTGAAATAATTAGTACAATAAAAGAAAAAAAGGAATGCTTTCAAGATAGGAGTAACCTTTGGGGAATCTCTATTGGTTTGTCCCTAAACTACATTTATTGCTTGTCATTCGTACCCAGAGCGCAAATTGAATTTCAGAAATGTTTATTGAGTGAAGTCATTGGTTTAAAACAAGAATTAAAGTCTACCTAAACTGTAACAGTCCCAATTTTCATATTACTCATTGAATCTTCAGGAAGTTTCAATTGCTTTGTTCTGGACGCTGTTAAACATCTGAATTTTTAATTTTTTTTTTTTTTTTTAAAGTGATTCAACGTTAGGTTGTACACATTCAAGAAATTTTGTTTTCTGTCATTTCATTCAAAAAAGGTTCGTGCAATTATTCCACCATATTAACTCACCCTTATTTACATAATTAAAAAAAAGAGGGCCTATAATTCTTTGTTACTTTGCCTTCGAGAAAGTTCCTGCCAAGGATCGAAACATTAAGCCCTCGTATTTTGTTGATTAGTATATTTCAGGTCTAAACCGTCAGTAAGCAGTTTGCACCGGCTTTATTCCTTTTCACCTTTAACTTTCCTTTAGAACCAAACACTACGGTAGAGGTTAAAGATCTCAACACAGGCAAACTCGTCGACAGTGATTCTGAACCAATTTGTGTCCGTCGGTCTGGTTCAGCTGTACGTGGCTTCAAGTGCACAGTTCGGGACGCCGAACCCAACGCCTGGAACATCGCGTGGTTCGTCGGAGGAGAGCGAGTTGTAACAGGTCTCGTTGAGACCGCAGTAGGTGGACTGGTGAAAGTGAGCAGCACCTTCAATCTTTCACAGTCGCAAACCGAGTTTCCGAACAACCTCACTTGTCAGGCTACGGGTCTCGAAAGACTTATCAGCATTACAGTTGAGTTAAAGTCTTGTCAAGGTAAGAAATCAAGTTCCCTGGTTTCTTTAAGAGTGTTCGTCATTGGGGGTAATAATTATTATACCGGCAAGCATCATCACAGTTCTCAGCTCCTCAGCAGACCTTGCTGCACTTCTTTGTAAATTTTAGTATTATCAAGTTCATGGGCGACCCTCCTTTGGGCCCCAAAGTCCTGGTGCCCGGGATATAACCAGCTGAGCGGACAATTTGGGTGTCGATGGCAGTGAACCAGTATAGGAAATATCGTCGTCCTCCTGGCTTATCTTCATGTCGCGTGCTGCCATAAAGTTCAGTGTTGGTGACATGGTCCTATCGGCTAATGTCCTGTGACGTTCTTAGCATGAATAACTCTCTTGTTTTATTTTTAAATTCCGTAGGCATTCATCCAAAACATGATCTTGACCTTTGGGATCTATCGGCTCGACGTCTTGTTGGACTGACATCCACGCCAATCTGCATCCAGCTTCATACGGAGCGAACTTTCCAATGCCAGCTCAGAGCAGCCAGACCAGGTGTTTGGCGTGTAGCCTGGCTCATCGATGGAGAAGAGTCTGGAGATGGCTTCACCAATTTAACAAGTAGCGCCGGAGATGGATTGGTCAACGTGAGCAGCAGGTTCATTATATCCAAGTGGCGAGACGATGGTACCATTACTAGTCTTACATGCCGAGCTACAAGTGAAGGGGAAAATTCACTGAACGTCACAGTGCACCTTGAGATCTGCTCTGGTAAGTAAATAATCTGTCTTTAATATTTCAAGTGCTGTTTTTATACTGCAAAATTCCCGTTAGGGAACAAGTTGGAGGTGTTTAGGCACAGGTTTCAAGTGGATGGGCGCCCTGTTAAGTACACTTCTTTCGTTTTCAACTGTTTTTAAAATGACTGTACTATTTACACTTTGCTCCAGACGTAGACAGAGTAGTAAATACGTCAATACACCTTGTGGATCTCTCGACTGGCGAACTGCTCGGCATCAAGTCTGGGCACATCTGCTTCAAGGCCGGCACGAAGCGAACCTTTGCATGTACAATCCTAGATGCCCGGCCAGATATTGTAGTGACTTGGATCATCGATGGAATCAAGAATGAAAGTGGGCGAGTAGATGTAACTCCAACAACAGATGGATTATTCAATATGAACACCAGTTTTACAGTCTTCAACTCCTTGGATGGAAGCCTCATCAACAGCCTTACTTGCATGGCTACGGGATTCAAAACAGAGTCTCTTTTCGTCACCCTCCAGCTCCAGACTTGCCCTGGTGAGACCACCATTCTGGTGTTTAATTTTTTTAAGTATAGCAAAATATATAAGTATCTGATTGCTTGTGAGACACCTTTTTCATTATTCAGAAATTGTCTCCAATACTTCAATGGAGCTCTTGGATCTCTCGACTGGAGAGTTCATCAGCGAGGCTTCGGAGGCCATCTGCCTGACATCGGAGACGGGAAGAGCGTTCGGATGCACCGTACTACAAGCCACACCCGACTCGTGGAGAATCGTTTGGGTCATTGACGGCGTGAGGGTGGAAACCGGATCCGTGGTTCAGACACCGAGCTCGGAAGAATTAGTGGACTTGTTCAGCAGGTTCACTATTCCCAACCCGTCTAGTGAAGACGTCGTAAAAAGTCTCACATGCCGAGCAACGAGTCTAGAGAAGGAAGAGCTTGCAATCACGGTTAAGCTCCGATCATGCGCCGGTAAAAATACTAAAACAATATTATTTTGAACTATTTTGTGGGGATTTCATGACCCGTTGCATCCATCAGAAGCAGTTTCTAAAATTGCCTTTGCTTCTCAATTTATTATCCAATATGATGTATTTTTGTCATTGTCGCCAATTACCTGCTGTGTGCAGCTAGGGGAACCCCTATCAACCGAGACGGGGTGCTTGCGTAGACATAACCTCCTAGAAATTAGTAATCTGGAAATTTCCTTGAGACGAAACTAAATGGTCGAAATAACACTATTTCTTCAACAAAAAAATATACTTATAAGCAGTATAAACAATCCCTAGTTATATTTCACTCTTGATTCTATTGACATGGGCGTCGCGGGGGGGGGGGGGGCAAGGGGGGCACTTGCCCCCCTGGAGAAGCAAAAAAAAAAAAAAGGAAGAAAAAAACCCGAAAAAAACAAAAAGAAAAAGAGGCGCGAAGACAAAGTGGTGTAAATTTAAAGAGTTGGGTGGGGGGGGGGGGGGCAAAATGTCCCTGCCCCCTCTAAAACTAAGAAATCGAGAATGTGTTGAGAAATACAAGCATTTTTTGGCAAAAAAATGTTTTGCCCCCCTCTAGAAAAAAATCCTGTCGACGCCCATGTCTATTGACCTGATACTTGTCAGGGTCAAAAGGCTTTTTCGGGTTAAAATCACTGGCAAAAGATCATCGGAAGTCATTTTAACCCGGAAAAGTGTTATTCAACCCCGGAATAGTATTCTACGTCAAATACATCCAGGATTTCGGGCCTTAACCCGGAACCTTTTACAGTGCGATTAATTTTCATTACAAGACATCAAGCCAGCAAGTAGCACGATCAACATGACGATGCTCTTTGCCATAGTCGGCGTCCTGAGCGGAATGTTAGTTTTGGCTGTCGCTGCTCTTGTCATTTCTTCAACAAGAGCCAAGAGGAGATACCAGGTACCAGTGAGTGCACAGAGTGTGCCAAATCTTCAAGGAAGCGTCGAGATGGTAAGAGATATGTCCAATGGGCTCCGTGCGCCAACAAAAGAGGCCGCCCTTTTACCTAGCAACGACAGCTGGTTGACGCGCACCGTTCCCTGTGTGTGACACACGTGCACCAGGAAATTATATTGTTGATGTACCCTTACGTGGCGCGGCCCCCAACGTGGCGCACTTTTGCATGTAGCGCCTACCTAGAGCAATAGTTTTAACTGAAATTTCACAGAAAGCGAAATTTCATCAAGTTCTAAAAACTCCTGAGTAGTTTAAGTAGACTGTCTGACACAATTTGACCTTGGGCATAGAAATAGGTAAAGGTCACATAAATATGTAAATATGGAAATATGTAGATATAAATATGAATGAATGAAGTTATGAAATTCCGGGCGCAGTTTGACCTAATGAATGGATGGGATGAATAGGGAATAGGTGTGGGTATAAGGAACCGGGTACAGTTTGACCAATTCTATGGGAAAGATTGCATAAGGTATGGAAAAAAAATTTTATGGTACATTTGGATCTTAGCCCTAATATGAGTTTCATACGTTAGTCCCTGTGAACGACCAGCTGGTCGGATCTTTAATCCCCCAACAATAGACGGGAGAGGGCGCGTGCCAAGTCAGCGCAATAGTATTGTTACGAAGTTAATCCGATCGATACAAAAAGTAATTGGATTTCCGAACGCTCGACAGCAGAAAGCAGCGATAGATGGCAAAAATGAATGTTGCGTTGATCAGACTGAAACGAGTACGATTGTCTATTTGAAGAATTATTTTAAAGTCATTTTTATTGGGTTTATGGGTATTGTGCACGTTGGTTTCCAAGGTATAAACAAACACTCACCGCAGCATACTTGCAGGGTACAACCTGTGTCATGTGTGTCGGCCATGGGGGTATATGATAAATCCACGATCCATAATCCATGCGTCTGTACGGAGGCCGTTGGTCGATCACCCCTCGATGATCGCACCGATCATGGAGCAAATAACTCCGTCTGTGCGCCTATATTCCTCTTGTTAATCGATACAGTACCAATGGCACTCTTCTACACTGCCACCAGAATCATCCAAGTAAAAATATATGTCTGTGCGCGGTGATCGTAGAAAAGGGAAGGTTTTGGCATCAGCCAGAGCAAATGTTAGTATACATGCACACTACTGTATACATTATGGCCGTCCGATCAGATAGCGCTCAAGTGTTCTTAATCCGTGACGGCTAAATTATCGATTAGGCTCTATAGTCTGCAGAGGCGCGTACAATAAGGAATGGATTCAGTGGTTTAAAGCCATAACAAAACGTGCGGGCATGTGGTTTTTAAAGGGAACTACGGCCTGGAAAGTGCCCGATTGAGTGTATAGGAATAACACAACCATCATTGTGCATTTTGTAATATTTCGTACTAGAACGACCCCAAAACCAAGCTATAGCCTATCCATAGTTAAAAATTCAGTCGTAACGTGGTGAAAATGGTGCCCCTTTAACGCTGTCTGTATAGGAATGCACCGAACCCTAGTTGTACCTCCGTGCCGGATTTGTTTACAAAATCGAGGATGACTGGGTTTTATCTACGACCATTTTACGGGGGTTATTTAGAGGGCGTGTCCAAGCGCTAATTTTATGACTGAGAGTAGGCTTTTCCGATTGATAAGACAACACAAACAAAGAAAAATACAACTGCAGAAATTAGTATATACGTTATGACATTATTGGTTTATTGACGTCATTTCTCATTAAAACACTCGTGTTTTTATTTGTCTGTCCCAATGTATTTCTTCGCAATTATATCGTCATTGTAATGTTGACTAGTCTTTAATCGTTACTGTCTTCCTCGCTTACGTCTTCTTCATCTTGATGGAACAATCCGTCAAATTTCATCTGGTGTTTAGGCATAATTCTGCCGAGAGCCTTTTGTACGCTAATGCCCTTATATATTTTTTCTTCGAGATTGTCCACAATATCTTGATGAGTATCGTTATCTTTCAGATGTAGGTAGCTTGACAGAAAATCCCTGTACTTGTCAAAAAAGATTTGCTTGACTGCCCAGAGGGTCTTCCTATCGGCCTTTTCCTTGGCCTGATCTTCACCCATACCCTCGTTGATGTACTTTTCATGTTTTTCACTCCACATGTCACGAGTCGCTTCTTTGGACTCCTCCAACCAGTCTTGGAAAGTAGCATTGTCTTCTAATTCAGAACTAGACTCATCTTCATCGTCATCTTCTACCTCCGAGTCCGTTTCCGAGCCCGATTCATCCACGTCAGGATGATCAGATTGAATAACCTCAATTTCAGAATCATCGTTAACCCCATTCATTTCAGATTCATCTTCAGCATGAGCGTTTTCGGTATGTCGCAAGAGATTATATCTCCGTCCAAACCTTTTATCACACTGGTTACAAGCATGGGGTTTGACTGCAGAAAAAGTATTCATGTTGAAGTTATAAAGGCTGATTCACGAATGACAAGAAACGGATGAATTGGTTTAATATATATTGTGCCGAGACCTGTCTGTTTGAGCTCATCCTGCTCTTTACCCTGCTCATCCTGCTCTTTACCCTACTCATCCTGCTCTTTACCTTACTCATCCTGCTCTTTACCCTGCTCATCCTGCTCTTTTCCCTACTCATCCTGCTCTTTACCCTGCTCATCCTGCTCTTTACCCTGCTCATCCTGCTCTTTACCCTGCTCATCCTGCTCTTTTCCCTGCTCATCCTGCTCTTTACCCTGCTCATCCTGCTCTTTACCCTGCTCATCCTGCTCTTTACCCTGCTCATCCTGCTCTTTACCCTGCTCATCCTGCTCTTTACCCTGCTCATCCTGCTCTTTACCCTGCTCATCCTGCTCTTTACCCTGCTCATCCTGCTCTTTACCCTGCTCATCTTTACCCTGCTTTACCCAGCAGGATGAGCAGGGTAAAGAGCAGGATGAGCAGGGTAAAGAGCAGGATGAGCAGGGAAAAGAGCAGGATGAGCAGGGTAAAGAGCAGGATGAGCAGGGTAAAGAGCAGGATGAGCAGGGTAAAGAGCAGGATGAGCAGGGTAAAGAGCAGGATGAGTAGGGAAAAGAGCAGGATGAGCAGGGTAAAGAGCAGGATGAGTAAGGTAAAGAGCAGGATGAGTAGGGTAAAGAGCAGGATGAGCAGGGTAAAGAGCAGGATGAGCTCAAACAGACAGGTCTCGGCACAATATATATTAAACCAATTCATCCGTTTCTTGTCATTCGTGAATCAGCCTTTATAACTTCAACATGAATACTTTTTCTGCAGTCAAACCCCATGCTTGTAACCAGTGTGATAAAAGGTTTGGACGGAGATATAATCTCTGGCGACATACCGAAAACGCTCATGCTGAAGATGAATCTGAAATGAATGGGGTTAACGATGATTCTGAAATTGAGGTTATTCAATCTGATCATCCTGACGTGGATGAATCGGGCTCGGAAACGGACTCGGAGGTAGAAGATGACGATGAAGATGAGTCTAGTTCTGAATTAGAAGACAATGCTACTTTCCAAGACTGGTTGGAGGAGTCCAAAGAAGCGACTCGTGACATGTGGAGTGAAAAACATGAAAAGTACATCAACGAGGGTATGGGTGAAGATCAGGCCAAGGAAAAGGCCGATAGGAAGACCCTCTGGGCAGTCAAGCAAATCTTTTTTGACAAGTACAGGGATTTTCTGTCAAGCTACCTACATCTGAAAGATAACGATACTCATCAAGATATTGTGGACAATCTCGAAGAAAAAATATATAAGGGCATTAGCGTACAAAAGGCTCTCGGCAGAATTATGCCTAAACACCAGATGAAATTTGACGGATTGTTCCATCAAGATGAAGAAGACGTAAGCGAGGAAGACAGTAACGATTAAAGACTAGTCAACATTACAATGACGATATAATTGCGAAGAAATACATTGGGACAGACAAATAAAAACACGAGTGTTTTAATGAGAAATGACGTCAATAAACCAATAATGTCATAACGTATATACTAATTTCTGCAGTTGTATTTTTCTTTGTTTGTGTTGTCTTATCAATCGGAAAAGCCTACTCTCAGTCATAAAATTAGCGCTTGGACACGCCCTCTAAATAACCCCCGTAAAATGGTCGTAGATAAAACCCAGTCATCCTCGATTTTGTAAACAAATCCGGCACGGAGGTACAACTAGGGTTCGGTGCATTCCTATACAGACAGCGTTAAAGGGGCACCATTTTCACCACGTTACGACTGAATTTTTAACTATGGATAGGCTATAGCTTGGTTTTGGGGTCGTTCTAGTACGAAATATTACAAAATGCACAATGATGGTTGTGTTATTCCTATACACTCAATCGGGCACTTTCCAGGCCGTAGTTCCCTTTAAAAACCACATGCCCGCACGTTTTGTTATGGCTTTAAACCACTGAATCCATTCCTTATTGTACGCGCCTCTGCAGACTATAGAGCCTAATCGATAATTAGCCGTCACGGATTAAGAACACTTGAGCGCTATCTGATCGGACGGCCATAATGTATACAGTAGTGTGCATGTATACTAACATTTGCTCTGGCTGATGCCAAAACCTTCCCTTTTCTACGATCACCGCGCACAGACATATATTTTTACTTGGATGATTCTGGTGGCAGTGTAGAAGAGTGCCATTGGTACTGTATCGATTAACAAGAGGAATATAGGCGCACGGACGGAGTTATTTGCTCCATGATCGGTGCGATCATCGAGGGGTGATCGACCAACGGCCTCCGTACAGACGCATGGATTATGGATCGTGGATTTATCATATACCCCCATGGCCGACACACATGACACAGGTTGTACCCTGCAAGTATGCTGCGGTGAGTGTTTGTTTATACCTTGGAAACCAACGTGCACAATACCCATAAACCCAATAAAAATGACTTTAAAATAATTCTTCAAATAGACAATCGTACTCGTTTCAGTCTGATCAACGCAACATTCATTTTTGCCATCTATCGCTGCTTTCTGCTGTCGAGCGTTCGGAAATCCAATTACTTTTTGTATCGATCGGATTAACTTCGTAACAATACTATTGCGCTGACTTGGCACGCGCCCTCTCCCGTCTATTGTTGGGGGATTAAAGATCCGACCAGCTGGTCGTTCACAGGGACTAACGTATGAAACTCATATTAGGGCTAAGATCCAAATGTACCATAAAATTTTTTTTCCATACCTTATGCAATCTTTCCCATAGAATTGGTCAAACTGTACCCGGTTCCTTATACCCACACCTATTCCCTATTCATCCCATCCATTCATTAGGTCAAACTGCGCCCGGAATTTCATAACTTCATTCATTCATATTTATATCTACATATTTCCATATTTACATATTTATGTGACCTTTACCTATTTCTATGCCCAAGGTCAAATTGTGTCAGACAGTCTACTTAAACTACTCTCCTGTTCATAAATTGCGAGTTTATTTACCCGTAACAAAGTTAGAAGAAAACAATTACTTTGGCGTGATTTTCTACTCATTATAGAATATGTAGTTAAAATTTATTCTTATTACTCCGATGGATGAAAATACAGGAGTCGGTGGCCCCCGATTCAGAATCGGATACCACGGCAGTTAAGGAAGAAGTCACCTACCAGAACACCATAGCACAATCCAATGTGACGCCTGAAGAGATTTCATCAGACACCGGCCTGCCATCATGGGCCGAGGGATGGGGGATTCCTTGGCGCGACCTCATCGTCGAGGAGCGAGTCCTCGGCAGTGGGAACTTTGGTGAGGTGCGATACGGAACTGTTAGGAAAGATGGAGACTTGAACAAGGCTGCCATCAAGATGCTCAAAGGTATACTCGAAATTAAGGAGAAAACATTTGACCAATGTTCTTAAATTTTAGAATGAGAATAGCCTTAAATTTCATGTGCCGTTGTATCCATTTTTATTGCACTAATGACTAACATATTTTGTCTGATGTTATATCAAAATAATTGACAAATACAACTCTTCAAACGTCAATGACACAAACTCTAACATATTCAATCAGTTCGTGCATATTTCATTGGCTTACGATCTCACTTTCCTCTCCGTCTTGTATAGGACATGTATCAGCATGCGACAGAGATGATTTCATGGATGAGCTATGGACGATGGCTCGTATCGGCAACCATCCTAACATCGTGCAACTGTTCGGTGCTTGTCAACATCAAGGCAAGTTACGGGACGTTTTCCAAGCCCCAGCGTCTCCTTTGCCGATCTACATGCACAAGCAACCTACGGAGTTGAACCTGGGTTTAAAAAAAATGGCCTTGGTCAGTTGGAACCCGAGTATTATACTTGACAGGGAGCACTTCACATGGTACAATCGAGGGCTTATTTTTGGAAGTAGCACACGCAGACTGATTCGTTTAACCGCCGCTGCTATCGTTTATCTATACCTCATCATCCTGGAACTGCCGTTTTCGTCGAAAAGAGGAATATGGGATTGGGTTTGCGGGGGGGGGGGGGGGGGGGGGAGTTGCAGAAGTTGCGGGGTGAGCCGGGGTGGGGGTCAGCTCCCTCAGCACGCATACATGACTGAAATAACTAAACACAGGACTTAATTAAGATTTGGGCCTACCTGGACGATGCTATCTTATTTTGTGTTTCTGCGTATTTAGGAGTGCTGTACGTTGCCTTGGAATACCTTCCTTATGGTGATCTGCGCAGCTACCTGCGGACGGCTCGCTCACAGTCAGACTCAGACGAGGACGCCTTGTCTTCCGATCAGCTGGTCAAGTTTGCTCTGGATGTTGCCAGGGGAATGGAGCACCTTGCTAAAGCAGGGGTATAGACCTGACTGATTTAGCCCAATTCGATGGTGTTGAATTCATACTTTGAGTAGAAACACCTCCCGTTCAACGACCATGAAACTTTTGTGTAAAAGAGATCCTGCAGACATAATGCGAATTTCTGTTGTATGTAAATAAATTCAAATCCCCTCAAAGAAGTCTTTAAGAAACCATAGTAGTTCACTTGAATTTGGGCCTATCAAGGATTTCGAAATTCAACTTTCCCAAACTTGAAATTTTTTTTCCCCAGGTTATTCACCGCGATTTGGCTGCAAGAAACATCCTGATCGGGAACGGATTGGTTGCCAAGGTTTCTGACTTCGGTCTGTCCCGTGGGGAGAATATCTACGTCCAGACATCAAGGGTCTGTATTTTGGGTGATTTATTGAAAGATTCTATCGTTTTACAAACACCTCCAGAGAGAAATGTGCATTATAAATATTATTTACGTCAGTTTGCGAGGAAGTGAAGCTTGCTTTTCTGTAGATACACTCTAAAAAGTCCCAGATCGGATGTGCTCCGGAAATTGTGTCATATTTGACCAGGTACTCTTTAAGGTTGAATATTAAATTACACTTCTCTTGATCCTTTTTCGCGTCATTTTGACCCAGGAAAGTGTCATTTAAGCCGGATGGGTAAAATTTGACTGAAATCAAGGTCAAATTTGACCCAGGATTGTTCAGAGTGTAACAAGAAACAACAAAATTGTAGACTGCATTTGGAGGTTTAAAAACACTTAGACTGTTTTTTTTTTGGGGGGGGGGCTGATTTTAGGGGGTAAAATACCCCCTAGATTACTTGAGGCAAGAGGTGGTGTAGTGATAATTACCAGTAGTAGTTAGAAGCAATTAGTGCACATGAATTGGTTTCAGGCGGAGCGAGGCTTGCTCAACACAAGAAAACAACGGGAGTAACGACTTGTAAAGAAAGCACGCAAGTCCAACAACCGCAGAACATGACAAGAAATTAATCGAGCATTTTCTGCAGATTGAATTTTTTCTATCATTTTATTTATGCAGCGACGAGTACCACTTCGCTGGTTATCCATCGAATCAGTGAGGCATCAGCTGTACACCACCCAGAGCGATGTGTACGTTTTTAACTGTAGGAACGTCTGTCTTTTATCCTATAAGATTCGTGAACCAATTCAGATCAAATCTGAAGTGTAGGCTTAGACGTACACTCTTAAAACGTCCCTGTTTACATCTGACATGGAATCCGGGTTCTGTTTCGTCTGTTACTTTCAAGGTCAAATATGACACTTTTTCTGGATCAGTGTGACAGTTTTGCTGAGGTTTCTGGGTTAAAATAACCCGGAAATGATCCAAAGACGTGGCATTTTGACCATAGAGCCTGGACCCTGGGTCGATCCGACAGCGAACATTATTTTTGGAATTTATGGCGCGGGGATGTTACATGTTTGAGAGTGTTTGCTTTTTCCCTGTACGTTTGGTTCCTAACCGGTTTCAAAGAATTTATATGGCCGTGTTCATCGACATTAGGACAATTTGAAGTTATCTTGAAACAACAGTTTAATCCGTATGGAAATTTGTGTTATATGGGAATAAATTCATTTCTTGCTGTACGTGTTCCTGCAGAAATGGCAAGCTAAATGTGAAGTCTTTGGGAGTTTGCACGCGACTTAACTGTCCACCGCTATCAACTGTACATTACCTAAGCATCTGCTGATGTAAGAGTCAAATGTTTTTGATTTTGGTTTCGACTTGACAAATGACTTGGAGTCCTTTTAACCTTGAAACTATTTTTTTAAATTAAAATCCATAGGTGGTCTTTTGGAATTCTCTTGTGGGAAATAGCCAATTTCGGTAAGCCTTTTTACTCAAAATACAATACCGATTCCATATAAATTTTGATTCAATATTTGTATCAGGACATCTCACTCTTTAAGCTATCCATGTATTGTAAAAAAATAATGAAGCAAGTTTGTCCGATTGTATATCATATCCTGTCTTTCGATTAGTTTTAAGCGGATGGTTGCACTTTTTAAAACGATGTTGTTTTTATATGATTTATTTTGCATGTAAATGTGGCCATCTCTCCTCCTTTTTTCCAAAACCATACATTCTGTAAGTAAAAGCTAACTTTTAATATTATTTGTTTCCTTTTCAAATTTAAGGCGGAACTCCATATCCAACCATTTCGAACGACTTGCTGGTAGAAACAATCAGAATAGGATATCGTATGCCTAAGCCGGACAATTGTGACGACCAAATGTAAGAACTCTCGTTTCTGTAGATAAATTATCTGCACGGTCCTCTAAATAACCCAGTGAAAACTGTTGAAACGAACGATGTATTGAACCACACACTGATTATTCTCGAGAACTGTAGGTGTGGACTAAAGAGGGCGCCCTACATGCTAGCACCAATACTAACGAAGGGTACAGACAAAGTCTTAGTGCACTTGCGCTATCCATTGAAACATGGATTATGCACAATAAGGAAGGCGGTAATTTGCCTCACAAAAACAATAAAGTACAGTCTGGTTCCCGGTCCTCTGTTCTAATATTTAAAAAAAAATCAGGCTTGCTGATCAGGCACGTACAACAGCAATTTGTAAAACAAAAACAGTGATGGAAATCCTCCCCCCCCCAAAAAAAACCAAGCTTGATTCTACCCTTGTTGTTTTATAGTTATGCCCTAATGCGCGATTGCTGGGACGAGGATCCGAACAACAGACCGACCTTCACTGACCTGGTGTATATCTTGAGTGACATGGCCGACAATCGGATCAAACATGTGAGTCGAGTATCTACAGATCTTAATCGTCAGACCGTCTTCGGTATAAGCTCTACTCAGGGTCACCATACTCAGTTCGGGCATGAGCCAATCGCAAATCAATCAAAAGTCATTTACATGTCAATCGAAAGTCACTCACGATCACAAGTCAGTCGCTAGAAAGTCGCAGGTCAAATGCGCAAATCGCAAGTCAATTACAATCAATCACAAGTTTACAAAGCAATCGCAAATCAATCGCAAGGCAATCACAATTCAATCGAAATTCAGTAACAATTCAGTTGCAAGTCAACTCGCGCATCTGGTCACAAGTAAAAAAAAATTGCCTCTCTCACAGTTCATTTGAAAAGAGAACTTGAGATTGAATTGTTGGTGATTTTCAACAATTTAAGTATTTGTGATGACTTGATAATGCCACTATGCAACGACTTCCAAGAAAAGCCTACTACACGTACATCGTGTATACATCTGCACCATGTAAATCCTTAAGGTCTGAACAAGTCTTGGTTTAGAATCCAATGACCGACTTAATAAATTGGTCTTATGTTTAAAAAAACATTTAATGCAGTGTATCATTTCCCCCCCACAGACGTACATGGCGGTAATCCGAAACGAGTATCAAAATATGAGTGCCATCCTGCCGGAACTTGATGACAACTGAGGGGCGTGGCCAATGTCCAGTCAAGGAGATTACGTTGTATAGGCATATTGCGTGGATGGCTGAATCCTGAACAGTCTTATAATAACTACTCGAATGGATGTATAAAGTCTTGGATAAAAATTGAATTTTTTTTTTTTATACAAGTACGGATTATATAACCAGAATGAATAACGATTTTATTTGAAGACCGCAACAAGATGCCCAACTTTTATCCGTTATTTTCTCCCCTGGAACTGCTCGTTGTGACGTAACGAAGATCGTCATTCTCATCATGGTTCTGCGTTGTATATATGGCTTCTTTTCTACGTAAGACTAGTCCAAGGACGGATCTAAGGTAGACGAATTGGGTAAGAAGCTAATCAACCCATCTGCTTGACCCATGTTAATTTAAAATATTCACAACCCCAAAAAATCCAAAATATTATAATTTTCTCAAACAAAGGCACCAGTCAGTATTAAAAATCTTAATGATTGTTCCACGACTTTGATCTTTCTATGCGATGACTTCAACGCCTCATTTAACCAAGCTAGAAAAAGAAACTTCCTTGGAGTTTGAGCCCACAACAAACTTGAACTGCCTTGATCCGGAAAATAAACCAGACGCCCCTTGCTGTGAAACGATTGTTGAATGCCTCTTCCCTGAGTCTGGAGTAATGATGTGCATCGGGTCGGGTTGACAAGGCCGACCCGAAACATTTGAGATATAAACCGAATCCGAATCCGAACCGATCTTAACTCCCTCAAACCGACCCGACCCGAGCTGACAAAAAATAAGGTAAAACCGACCCCAACCGACCCGACCCGAAAAAAATTAAGAAAAAGGCCCCCACCGCCATTGTCAAACCCAAGAATCCCTTGATAACCACCTTGCATCCCAATCACCCTCCCCTTCGTAATATCACTTATGACAACCACCAAATTCTCAATACTTCAAGTCCCTTTCCCAACGCCATCCCTGACATGACAGCCCAGTAATTGGCTTTTCATACAAGGCTTTTCTGGCACTGCCCGCAGCACTATATTTGGTAACATTACCTGCAACGCCTCTAATGTTATATGTCTCATCTTTTGCAGGGTTTGTCAACACAACTAGAGTGAACGCCCCTGTTGTCATGGTCACCGACCTCCTTAACCATTCCACCTCTAAACATCCAACAAGACAACGATTAGTCTTTCTATATGCCCCTCTTTTTATGTTTCGGGTAATTTCGGTGATAAACGCCAGTGGCGTTTATCACCTCCTTTGTTGCCCCCCATCAATGTAACTCCTTCCACGTAGTATTCCCGTTCTAATGGCTTCATGACTGAGGTGGACTGGCAAAAACTAACACAGACGTTACTAGTATATTTTTTTAAAAGCTTTTAAGTATTTAAAAACTAGGTAAAATTCAGTTAAAAACAGATAACTTAAGAAAAACTGATAAAAGACTCAGCGATTTAAAAACATTGTAAAGTCGTCACTCCCACAACGTTCTTTAGTGAAAACTCTTCTTGAATTATATAGCACTAAATATGATCAGCATTTTTAGTTCTGATAAACGATTGATTTGTACATGCAAATTATGCATTGGTATAAATTATAATGTGCTCTCCCCCCCCTTTTAAATATGCACACACGCTGAAAATGAAAATTCCAAGCTGAGACAAATTCGATGCGTTGTGTTTGGATCATTAATCATTAATCCTTAAGTGTCTGCCTTTTTTGCAGGAAACACAATTTACCTAAAGGCAATTACGGACATAGCAGTGAAACAAAAAAATTATAATAAAAGGCACGTAGCCCACGTATAGGATCTGCTGCATGCACAATGCCGTAGTTAATAATTGATCACTAAATAAACAAACCCTTGCAGATTATAGTCAGTATTCATAATAATGAGTCAACACTAGAAAACCCGACGGAGGAAATTTCCAACTCAAGCATTAAATCAAAGTCATTACATCATCAGCAAAAATACATACTCGCTGCCAAGTAACTATAGGCTGTATTTACGTATTGTAATACATATTGTAATACATACTCGCTGCCAAATAACTATAGGCTGTATTTACATATTGTCTTTGGAATATTTTACAATGTCTTACCGGGGACACAAGCCTTCTCTCATCGGACTCAGAATTTTAGGAAATGCCCTAAAATCTAATAACAATAACAATAATTTAAACAAAATACTAAAATATAAATGTTTAAAACCTGTTAAGTGTCCAACTTCAGCAAGTGATGCCTTGTGAACTCCATGTTTAGAATTGGACCCTATTTATGTTATTATTCTGAGCGTTGGCTGTAGATTGTAATCTGACATCCAGGTTTATAATTCGCACAAAAATTAAACAAGATTTCATAATTGGTATAGGTACTGACATTACATTAAACTATCATGTTGTACTGTATTTTTTATAGTTCTTTGAAATGGACTTCAGTAAATAGCAGTGTATAATTATAAAACAGTCCATGAATTTAATACTTTCCTAATGTTACCTTACTGATGAAATTGTCACTGAAAATATGCAAGAAATGGCAAAATTTTCTGCAAGTTTGACCATATTGACTGGAAAGTTAGGGACCGAGACCATTCAGCCCTGGTATGAAAAGGGCCCCCCGGTACCCCGTCCAGTCCAAAGCCAGTCCGGTCTCCAGCCCAGTCTCGTCCGGTACATGGTCCTGTCTGACCAGAAGTTTTGAAGTCAGTCAGGCGCATTAATTTATTGCCCTTCAGAAAACGTCCACAGCAGAACAATAGCAGACTTACCAGATTTAAGAAAAAATCCTTCCATAATGACTTGGTAATTTACGGTCTCATTGTGCGCAAAACTGCATGGCAGGGGTTTTGATCTGTGCCGAGGAAAGTGTTCTATTGTTTCGCGCTGAGAGATGAAAACTACAAGCGGGTTTCTTCTGGGATATATTACATGTGTTATTACTTGCAAACAAAAAAACCCAGGATAGAGGAGGTCCTGATTAGCAACAGGACTAGCTCCAGGGCCGGTAGCTTGGACGGTACGAGAGGACTTCTTGGGAGGGGACGAGCTAACCGGGGGGCCCTTTTCATACCGGGGCTGAATGGTCACGGGCCCTTATTACTCTTGTTTCAAATACATAAACGTGAACATGTATGTGCATGTGATAACAATACAGACTGCATAATGCAAACTGGTTTGAAAACTCAATTGGCTTAAGATTAAATTGACCCATTAATATTTTACGCACTGAGAGCAAGAATAAAATGCTTCTGGTGGATGGGCCTGGTTCATCTGCAGCTATACTACTAGTTGGCAGGCCTGTTTGCCCATTTGCAGTCTCAGTACTGGTTGACGGGCCAGACTGAGTGCCGAGGCCATAGCTTGATGGATCTTACGCTCCATCAGTTCGAGAATGAGAAATTCTTTGAAAACAATTCCTCAACTCCATCTTGCGTAAGCCTCCACTCATCCTCATCCAGTCACTCTAAATGATATCCGCTTGGGGTGTAGGCAACAAAAATCACACTAAGTAATGCACTGGTGTGCATGCCAACTGGGTTTGAACCTGCATGAAATATTCATTAATTAATAAACAGCTGTATACAAAAAGCCTTTGAACCTTATCAAAAATGCTGGCCATTGCATCAGCATGCATTAATCATTGTGTGCACAAACCAAATAACCTCTGTACAGGAGGGTTGGACTTTTTTTCTGCAAAAAACACAATCTATTTAAACGCAGCGGGCATACCGAATGAAAACTAATGAACAATTAATAGCAAAAAAGCCCCTTCAGTCTCAAAGTAAATTTACTGTAATTTATTTTTTTACATGTTTCAATTCGTAAACAATTATCATAGTCAGATACATTATGATTAAATAAATACGAATTCAGATAGCGACTATATTCATGCAAGCAAGTATGGTTTATCCTACCGTGTCAAATTTTCTTTTTTTAGTTTATTGGTTAACAACAACACAATGATCAACAGTACCAGCTGAAAGGGTTACTTTACATCAATCCAAATACACTTACATACACAATTTTGCCCATTAGGTCATAATTAAAACGTGATAAAAGTTTTAAAAAATGGTTATTTAAACATAAGTACAAATACTACAGATGGGCAACACGCGGCAGTATAAAATTAATAAAAAATAAGACAGTTATATAATAAAAATTTAAACAAAATAATAAATTATAATTAGATATGCAAAACACCATAGTCTGGGACAAACAAGGAGTAGGGAAAGGGAGACAGTTATTTTTTTTTTCAGGATTTATCTAGTTGTGGAACAGTTGATTAACTGTAACTCTCTGTGTTACATTTAATCGTGTTTAAACCAGACATGTAACGCAAGACTCTTGAATTGGCATCAGATTTGGAGGGTTGAAGCAACCTTGACGGTTTACTGTCAAAACGTTCAGTTCCAAAATGATGAACTTGAGTAAATGATTGTTCATTCATTCCAAGACATTCCGAGACAGAAGTTTGATCAGATCAAGAGCTTCAGTGTAAATGTACTTCTGTCCAAGTATAAATTATCTTCTTCTTTTTTTATACCGATTCTACTTTATGGGATTGGAGTGAGTAATGGCGATGTGCCAGACTTGTGAGCCACATTCTAATATGGGCCTTATGTAGCATTCGTTATCAGTTACCATATCTTGGATGGGAACACTTGATTTTCTCAGAATGCATGAAGTATACAAGCGTCGAAAAGCTTTGGCAACGATTTCAGAGACATGGATTTGTCTTTCTGTATTTTTCCGATCACTTTGAATAATAATTCCTTTAGACGTCAAAAATGTGACACTACATTTATTGAACACCATAGCAAATAAAAACCAATTTTGGCTGTAATCTGTCTCAAAAAGGAAATAGTTTTAACATCGCACTTAGCATGTTTTAAATGACTTAAAAAACAATTCGAAATGTAAGTAATTTTGAAGAACCGGTTATAAATTTGTGCTCACGACTTCACCTAAAGTTAAATCATATAAAATATTTCTTTCTATTGGAACATTCTTTGGCCGCACCATTGACTAGAAATGAAATGTGTTCATGACAGCAATTACATTGAAAAAGGGCACATTGAGAATTATAAAGAAATATTTACCGAATTTGAAAATGCAATGAAATTTAATACACATTTACAGATAGACACAATTTATTAGAAGCCTAAAAAATAATGCGGAAGGTCTCCAGTGACAATTTGAAGATCATGTTTATATTATGGGTGTGAACAAGGTATTAAACAAAAGGTGTGGCAGCGGCCCTTTTAAATTCAATACTTTTTTGTCTAGAAGAATACACTGATTTGAGTAGTACATGTTTTGTGGATGAGAAGCATATTCTGACAGTGTTGAAAAGTAATACTCATGTCATTAAAAAAAACCCGTCATTTATCATTGCAAAGGTTTCTCCATTGTGTAGTTGTGCTTCCACTGATGATAAACTAAGGACTTAAATTGATGTGTTGCTTTTCACCGTCAGTTTGATGGTAAAAAACAAAACAAAACAGGAAAACAGAAAAGTCCTGATGTGCTCCCATTCACGGAAAAAAACTCTTCTTGAATTATACAGCACTAAACACGATCGTTATTTTTAGTTCTGAATAAACGATTACGACAAGTATTATATTTGTCTGTTTTAA